GGCGTAGTGGGCGCGCGGGCAGGCAACGCCGCAGCAGACGGTGGGAAGGCGCCGGGTGAGTCTTCGGCAGCAGCGGGAGGGCGAGCAGGTGGCAGTGCAGCTTCGCCGGCGGGCGCAGCCTCAGCTCCTCAGGGCCCATCCAAAACGCCCGTTTCCACTTCTCCCGCCGGCGGCAATGATGGAGCCACCGCTACAACGACCACCCGCAGCCCGAGTGCTGTGAGTCACGCGAAAAGCAACGCGGACAGCAGCGCCATCAACACTCTGCTTGTGCGTGCCCCATTGATGTTGCTGCTCACGACTGCCCTTGCCTGCGCTGCTGCGTAGGTGGTAAGGGGCAAAAGGTACTCGCTCACACCCTGACAGGGACGACGCGTACGCTTTGTGCGCCCAGTTTGCTTATCGTCCCTGTGGGTCAATCCTCCTCTCCCTCCTGTGCTCTGAGGGATGCTTTCTTCTTCTTTTTTTACTTGCTTGGCCGTCCCATGCACGTTCTCATGGGCGGCGCACCCTTTTCCCCTCCTGTTTGCTGCCGCCACCCACACGCACACACGCGGTGCCGGTCGCATTGCTGTGCGTCGCACGGAGTGCCCAAATGAGGCACGAGGCCGCGGTCATCGTGAGGTGCAAATGTGAGGTGTGCGTGTGTGCGACCGGGGCACTTGTTGCATTTTTTTTTTCGTGCAGGTAATAAACTACAGACATGCATCTCTCACGGTCCTCTTGTGCTGCCGGACGCGAGAAGTAAAACAACACCTGCCGAAGTAATTTCTTTTTTTCTTTTCTTTTTTGCGAGGGGCATTGCGGGGTTTCCATTTATTTTGTTTTTCGTTTTAATTTTTTTATTTGGGGCAACTCACTGCGGCTCACGCTGAGTTTGTGCGCCGTGTCCGCTGCTGTCGCTGCGTGCCTCCGCGTCTTGTTTGATACCCCCGCCGCCGGCACGCCCCCATTCACATTTCTCTCCTCCTCCCCCTTCCCGCTAGAGGCACCGGTGGTCCGCGACGACGATGACTCTTTTTTTGTTCTCCGCTGCTGCTGTGGCGTGGGAGTGACGGGGCGTCCGTGCACGGGTGGGGCGCGTGGCCGCTGGGCGACACTCCTGCCGTGGGATGCCTTCGCGGGGTTGGGGAGCAAACGACGTGGGCGCTGCGAAGCGGGGCGCGGGAGGGGCGGGGTGGTGGCCGCCGGCACGCCCACTTCGTCCGCGTATGTGTGTGTGTGGCGGGAGGGAAAAGAGGGCCCTTGAGCCCCGCTGCGGTGTGCGGTTTGCTGCTGCCTGTCTATTGTGAGGGCACATGCGGAGTAACGTGCACAAAACCGTCTTCTGCCGTTGTTGTTTTTTCCATTAACGGGACGGCAGTGCCTCGGCTGTTACTTCTTTCTCTGTGTGTGTGTGTTGGTTGTATGCACCCATTCCGCGGGCTGTTCATGTTTGTGTGTGCTTGTCCCTTTTTCTCTCTTTTTCTGCCCCTCGCTAGACGCTGTGCGTGTGCGTGTGTGCTGCGGTGGGAGGAGTGGCGATGGCTGGCCGTGCGCTGTTGGTGTGCGCCCTCTGCGCGCTGTGCTGCGCCGCCGGCGGGGGCTGGGCGGCGGAGGGGGACTACTGCACGGAGCGCGACTGGAGGGACTTGCGGGCGGTCGCGAAGGACATGAGCGACGCGGAAATTGCGGCGAAGTACTGCGGCCGCAAGCCGGAGTTTGTGCGGGGGCTGCGGGCGAGTCTGCAGGGCGATGGGGCGGAGGAAGGGGCGGTGTCTGGTCCCGGCGGAGGGAGCGGCGATGTCGAAAGAAAAGGCCCGCGAGCCTCAGGGGAAAGCGCCGAAGGTTCACCAGAGGAAAAGCCTGCAGGTTCGGGGGAAGTGGGAGGCCTGAAGGGGACAGGCGCACCACACGAAGTAACTCCAGCGGCAGGCCCG